GCTTACTTTAGTGAATAACTAATTTACTTATTCTGTATCTACATTTGAAATGGCATTTCAAATCCAACCCATGTATCTACTTTCAAATCCAACCCATAAAGGTATGAGATGGATGTTGCCTATTTGAAACATCCAATCACTGGATCACTACCAGGTGGTATGATGAAGCTGGGCAGTCGAAGCCGGCAGTAGCAGCGGCGTCGGTGCTGGTCGGCGGAACTGAGCTCCGGTGTGTCTGGTTCTCCGAGAAGCTGCGTCGTCACACTAAAATGAAGCACCGATGGTGAAGCTGCAAGGAAGAGAAGCCAAAAATCTTTTTCTCGTCTTTTTGGTTTTTATTTATGAGAGCCTTTATTTGTCTCCACAAATCAGTCTCTTTACCCTCACCATTTTCTAAATTTTGTTTATTACCATTTTATCTATAATTAAATTACCATTTAAAAATTGAAACCTTTAAAATGACACTAATATGGGGACTTTTAGGTAATTAACTTATTTTTTGGGACATATACACAAAAGTCTTAATTTATGAACCTATAGTCCATTAAATCCTGTAAGAGGGGCTAATTTGAGCCCACTAAATTATTTAGGCCCAATAGCCCAAGATTAGTGGGCCCGAATTTATCGCAAGTCCAAGAATCGGTGGGCCCAGATTTATCGCCATGAAACGGATTGAATCGCTCTAAGCCTCGAAAGGGTTCGGATCCACGAACCTAGAGACTTACTCAGGCCCGGACTCGAAAGGGTATTAGACAAGCCTAGAGATCCAAGGCACTCGGACTCGAAAGGGTTCGGATCCACGAACCTAGAGGTCCGTTTTATCTATTCGGGTCGATTCCTCTAAAGCCAACGTAAAGCAACAATGTTCGAACAAAAGCCCGGCATCAACTATCTATTTCCTGAGCATCCACTGGATCAACAACAAACAATGATATACGGCTCTATTTCTTTTACAATGACATTTTTTTTATTCTCCCAAGAAAGTGTTCAAGAAATTCAAGAATTGAGAGTTCATTTATCCCCTCGGATATCAAATTTAAAGGTTATAATATGCAAACAATGCTTCATCATTCCCAAATCAACAAAACAGCGCTGTGGGTACTTCCAATAGAAATAATAAATCAGTTGAGACAGGCAAGATTGCAAAATTCCAAATATGTATTTCACAAATCCAATCTTGAGCACAAAAATTCATCAAAACAATAAGAAGGAAAGTAGGTTTACACAGGAGCTTCCACCAATTACATATATACACTTACCCACAGATTTATACTAACAGAGGAAGAGCACAGCTGAGTCAGAGTCAATGCGGGAAGCAGAAAATAGGCCACGGATTAGTAAAATCAGCAGCAAGGACAACCGGAATAGATCGGCGATAGCACAGACAGTGGATGAAAATGGATATGGATGGACCGACACCGCGTTGAGTGGGCGGCGTGGCCGTCACTTCTCAGTTACGGTTGATAAATACAGCAACGGCGCAAGAGCTGGGTAAGACGACGCATGTTGCGTTGAACGGGCAACATGCGTAGTCGGCGTTGGACAATCCGAAGCCAGAGGTAACAGTAACGTCATAGAGAAGTCGGTGTTGGTGCTGGTTGGTGGAACCTTGCTCCGGACTGTTTGGTTATCTTCTTGGCTCAATGCCCTTTATACAATGATGTTCAGTTCTTCTGGGCAAATTTCTCAAGACTCTGGTACTGTATCAGATGTGATAAACAACCTTAAAAAAAAAATTCCAGTTATTCCTCTTTCAGATGGTTCATATAGTTCAGTGGATGATGGTACAATTTGGTTACACTCTGATGGCTTAAACCCCAGATTTGATGACCATGGTCCAGAAGCTTTCCCAGTGTTGTATGCTAAACTTCGGACTGTAAGTCCTGCACTTTTATGTGCTGCCGCGACTGTTGATAATTCATGCTTAGGCGAGTCTGTAATGGGCAATCTTATTAGGATGCTTCAAAGAATTGGCGTCCAACGGGTGTCTGCACCTGAAATTGTAAAGGTGCACATCTTTCCAGCTATCTCTGATGACAAGATCACAATAGGCAATAAAACTTTGATGATAGAATACCTTTCCTTTGTAATGTCGCACTGCAATCAAGTTGTCCCACCTGTCACATTGAAAGGGGACAAATAATTTCAGAGTTGCGCAATAAAACTTTCATATTAACAAATCATGGCTACAAACAACCTTCTGAGGTATCAATTCATTTCAGTAAAGAATTTGGAAATCTTATTGATATAGATAAGTTGATCAATGGGTTGGATTTGAAATGGCATGAGATGGATGTTGCCTATTTGAAACATCCAATCACTGGATCACTACCAGGTGGTATGATGAAGCTGGGCAGTCGAAGCCGGCAGTAGCAGCGGCGTCGGTGCTGGTCGGCGGAACTGAGCTCCGGTGTGTCTGGGTCTCCGAGAAGCTGCGTCGTCACACTAAAATGAAGCACCGATGGTGAAGCTGCAAGGAAGAGAAGCCAACGGGCAGCAGCGCCGGGCAGTCGAGGCCGGCAGTAGCAGTGGCGTCGGCGCAGGTCAGTCGAGGCCTGCAATGGCAGTGATGTTGCAGAGGAGTCGGCATCGGTGTGTCGGTGACGTCGGTGGTCTTCAGTAGTTACAAAGCAAGTTGGTCACGGTGGCCTTTGGTTTGGTAGCTGCGAGGCATCAATTGAAGAAGAGCTGGGTTGGTCTTGTTCAAGAAGAAGAAAAGCTGGGTTGGTCTTGTTCAAGAAGAAAGAGAAAGGCTAGATGGTCTTGGCGGCTGGAGGCAAACAGAAAAGAGAGGCTACATTGTTTAGGGTTTTGAGCCATCTCTTTAAATATATAAAAAAAAAAAGGGTGTGATATATGGAATAGGCCTCATATATTCTGAATATATATATTCCAAGCCCAAAAAGAAAAAAAAATTTGATTTCTTATCTTAATTCTTATTTCTTTTACTTGGAGTAAAAAAAAAAAAGGTGGGGTTTTGTATTTTTCAATACTTGAAAAAAAATAAAAATAAATAAAAGTACAAAAAAATAAAATTTTTGCTTGTCAATTTTTTCTGTAAATTGAAGTGCGTCATCAAATTTATCCATAGGCTCTGTCGTGACAAAATGTTTTTTTTTTTTGAACGTGATGCGAAACAGGGTCGAAGAAATGACAGTATGCATGTCTGAGAAATTTAAAATTTCTCATACACGCAAGGGGCAAATGTAAGAGGGGCTAATTTGAGCCCACTAAATTATTTAGGCCCAATAGCCCAAGATTAGTGGGCCCGAATTTATCGCAAGTCCAAGAATCAGTGGGCCCAGATTTATCGCCATCAAACGGATTGAATCGCTCTAAGCCTCGAAAGGGGTCGGATCCACGAACCCTCAATTTGCAACT